CCTGTCTGATAATTGTGGAAATTGTGTTGTATTTTATCGCCTGCTTCACATGTACGTTTTTATTTGCAGAGAACTAAAATAACACTGATTAAGAATCCACTGAAGAAGACTTCCAGAGAGATCTCTGGTCTTTGAATCTTATATTGCTTTGTGTCTTTATAAAGATGATAATGCGAAATCTTACTGGCTTAATATCCGCTCTCTGAGGCAACCTGGCACCAGTGTCTAGATATAAGAGATTGTAGGTGAAATAATTTCTCCATTTTAACTTGTAAGCCTTCATCTTTTTGTATATTTTGAGTGAGCTGTACAGTCTCAGAAGGGTGATTTTTTTTTTCTTGGTTATGAGGTTTGCTTCTTGGGCTCATGTTACTGTGCAGTGTCTTTTCCTATACTTTTGTGAAAGACTGGCTAGGAAAATGAAGATGGTGCGGTTGTTAATTACAGACATGTCAGTTCCGGAAACCCCAGACCTACCCAGAGTAGAGGTTGATTACACACAAGTTGTTTTTTTACAGTCAGCCGACTGATGTATAGTGGTTTATTTTCCAAAGCTGTTGGAATGTAATAGCGTGAAGTGCTGTTTCAGAGCCTGCTTATAGTCATCTTTTGAAGTATTTTCCATGCCTCAGTGAAAGTTTTAATGCCTGTATATTTTATGTGGAGGCACACCAACTCTCCGTTTCTTAATTTACAGCTGAAGCGCTGGGTATGACAGGCAACCAATTACAGCGTGCTGTGAGATATTTTAAACTTTTGCTTCTGGATGATTAACTCTTCAAAATGCTTGAGATAAGATCATGGATTTAATCCCTGGTAATTGCCAAGACTGCATCTGTAACCCTTGCAGATAGCATGAAAGATGCGTCATTGGTCATGAAACTGGAAAAGCAAAATCCTCAAAAAAAATCTTTCCCTGTCCATAGCTCGTGTGGGGGAATCCACTGTCTCTGCAAATAAGTGAACAAACACATCAGAACACCCTCAAACTATTTTTAAAGGCCTTTATTTCTTAGAATCTTTTTCTTGGTGCTTGGATCTTATTTTGGCACTAAAATATTCACACTCAAATCTGCCACTTACAAAACCAGCATATTTTTGAGTGCGTGAATACATTTATGCTTCCCGTGTGAAAATGAAAACCTCCAAACTAAATGGACCAGGAAACTACTCTGATGAAAATGTCATGTTATTATGTCTTTCCTTACACTGTTTCTTAGCAGTACATTTTTAGTCACTAATTCACAGATTGGGGTTCCTCTCCCTTGGAACCCGTTCTTCTGTCTTCTTTGGTGTTCGTTGCAGTGAGCTCACTGCAGAATTCAAGGTAACCAGACCCATTTTCTAAAGAAAACCGCAGAAATAAAATGGGATGTATAGCTCACGCAGAGGTATTGTGAGGATTCGCCGGACCTGGCTCATGTTTGGAGCTTCAGAGATTAAACACAAGTGTTTGGGGTATGTACTTGGGCAATATGAAGGGGTCCTTTGGGCCACGGAGAGGTGGTTTCTCTTTGGAATCATCTACCACAGTCTCCTAAATCACGTGGCCCTGGCTAGCAGGGAAGCTCTTTCCGAATTCAGCAGGAGTTGAAATTGTCAAGTCGGTTATGAACCAGCCTGGTGTGATCTCAGCTGGGCCTGATGGAATTATTGGTCCCTTGGCTAATACACAGGAAGTTGATTGGCGCACTTGTTAGTTTTAAGTGAGGTTAGTTTCTGATGCTATTTCCTGAAAGGCACTGTATAAGATGTGGCAGAATAAACTCGTGCTGCATCGTAAACTTAAATAGAGCAGGCTTAGAACTTTGAGATACCGTCTTTCTTCCCTGTTGAATCATCCAGGGCAGGGATCTAGCTAGAGGAAGAATGGGGTGGGGGTGGTGGGCTCGGAATCAAGAAGGTGACTTTGGGCATCGCTTCACAAAACAGTATGGGGTTAGGGGTCTCATAAATGGACTTTCTTTCCTGCTAGATAACTCAGTTCAGCACTTTTTTTTTAATTAAATGTTTATTTGTTTTGAGAGAGAGTGCTTTTGAGCATGCACGTGAGCAGGGAAGGGGCAGAGAGGGAGAGAGAATCCCAAGCAGGGTTTGCGCTGTCAGCACAGAGCCCAATGTGGGGCCCAGTCTCACAGACCGTGAGATTATGACCTGACCTGAGCTGAAATCAAGAGTCAGAGGCTTAACCGACTGAGCCACCCAGGTGCCCCTGAATTCAGCACTTCTGAAATTGGTTCTTCTGGCCATTTTGGTAGGAACTGTATCTTCCAGGTTACCTGGCTCTCTCAGTTCTGCCTTGTGCTGGACACTCCATTTTGTGAGAAGTACTATTGTGGCAATATAGTTACTTCACTGGGTAAATGCAGGTGGCTGGCTCAAATAGTCTCTGTCCTCTGGAAAAAGCAACAACTTTTTTGGGCAAAATTGACTATAGAATGTTTATGCAGTTAATGTGGACCACTTATGATTTGAATGTTCCTAATTTGAGTGAATGTTGGTATTTGAATGAAGTATGGATCATGAAATTATGCCCTCAAATGTCAGGGCTGCTTTTAGTGAAAGTTAACAATTCATGGTTGGCCTGTTAAGCAATTGTAAAGCTTGTCCCTCCCTTTCTCCACCCAGGCTTATAAAAGGGCTTCTTTTCCAGTGAAAAATACTATTACATAGCATGTCACTGTGTGTATATATATTACCTCACTTATTATATGCAGACTTACTCCTAGCCACCCGCAATGTAGTAGCCTACCCTTATACAACACTGTGTCCATACGGAATTCACTGTAGTGTAGGACTGCCTTGGGCCCTTTTCAGAGAGCGTGTTAAGTATCCAGATTACCTCATTTTAAAGTTAGCTTAAGCCTGCATCATAGATCCTCCAGGACAGCATCAGAGCGATGTTCCAGGGTTCCCTCAACACCTGTAAGACTAAAGAAAATCTGAGGGGAGCCACTATTTTGTGATGAATTTTCTTCTTACATATTTCAGGTTTTTATGTTCTTTATGGGCCTTCCAGCTTCTACTCTTGCCTGCTTTTTCTCATTTATCTTCCAGGTGGCCTCTGTCTTCTGATTCCGTGGTTTATAGGTACACCAGGAGCGCTGATGAAAAAGATCTTTGAGGCTTGCGTGCTTTTGTTTACCGATGATGATGATGATGATTGATAATGATAGCAGCAGCAACAGAAAGCATCATTCCTGAAATAGTTACTTTACGCGTACCATGCGCACAGTGGACAGACGTGATCTCCTTGATGCCCCTCATAGCCTGTGCACGATAGCTGTAGTCATCGTCCCCGTTTTACAGAGGAGAGAGCTCTGACACTCTGAGCCTCGGGAACCTGTATAGAGTTGTTAAGACAGTGAGTGCAAGCACCGGGAGATGAATAGACTTCACAGCCTATCTTCTTCCTGTTCAGCCACATTTCATTCCCTCTATGTCATCAGTTGTTTTAGAACAACCACCTGACTCACCAAAGCTGAGAAGTGAACAAAATAGTGTCAGAATTCACTCAAGCAATTTGTCCAACTCGATGGGACTATAACCTTGGTCCTGTGTGTTGGCATTCTGTTGCTCAAGAGACGTATAGATTCCTTGTGTAAACTTGCCCTTTAAAACATCATGGAGGAGGGGAGCCTGGGTGGCTCAGTCGGTTAAGCATCTGACTTCGGCTCAGGTCATGATCTCAGGGTTTGTGGGTTCGAGCCCTGCTACGGGCTCTGTGCTGACAGCTCAGAGCTTGGGGCCTGCTTCGGATTCTGGGTCTCCCTCTCTCTCTGCCCCTCCCCTGGTCGTGCTACCTCTCTCTCAAAAATAAATAAAAACGTTTTTAAAACATCATGGAACAAAGCTGAGGAAGTCAGTGCTCCCATCTGGAAGTACATGCATTTGAAAATATCTTTGAGAGTGTTTTGGTCTGTAGTTTTAAGCAGGCAAGGACATCCTGGTTTTCTAGTGAAGTCAGAATCAAAACTTTTCATACAGATTTTGGTAGGGTTGTGGCAGGGATTTGATCTATGATACCACTGATGGAGTAGCCAGCTGGAGTGGGAACTTCGGCACAAGAATGCCTTTGGAAATTAAACATCGAAATGAAAACATTCTTTTGAAGGCAAATTTCCAGGTGTGCTGTAAACTGTTCTAAGCTATAATTGAAATATAAAAGAACATTTCAAAAGCAGTGATCTATTTTCTGGTGATTGTTGTGCTAATCCCGAAATCCTAGTGTGAATTAATATAAAGACAGGATTGGATGCATAAAAGTACCTGTTTTAATCATTTAGCACATCGTTCAAAACTAAACTGGTTGAGGCTTCAAGTGTAAGGGTGAAAATCTTGCTTTCATCTATCAAATCCCACCATAATCTGCCAAGAACAGCCACCAGGGGCTCCCGGGGCAGCTGGGAAGACATCCTTCCATTCTCAAAGCTCGATATGGGGGAGAGATTCGCGGCAGGTTCATGTATAATGAAGCGGTCGAGGCTGATGTTTTTGAAAGTACTTCATTAAAACCCCAAAGGAGTGAATCAGTTTTCCGTTCAGATCTGGTGCTGTATGGAAATACCCTGCAATGTGGAAGCTTTCATTTGGCAGACGGTTTTGTCTTAGGGGTGGAGTAGCAAGTTACTTTGCAGCAGGTGCGGGCACTGTGTTCACCTTTGCCAGCATGTCCCGTGTGAGGTCACGAGCCATTCAGGAGGTATGGGAAAGTGGCCTTGAGAGTGAAAGAAAAAAGCCAACCCTGTCTCCACCCTGCACGCACCCCTTCCCCAAACCTGGGTGCATCAGTAGCCACATGAACAAACAGCAGCAGTGGTGATGACTGTTGCATCGGATCAGCTGTGTAGATGGTGTGCATGCGGGATCTTTTGGGCCTGGCCTAAAGTTAGAAAGTAAATGCTGTATCCTCGTGTCTGAGCTCGGAAACCAAACGTGGCGTCGGGCGCCAGGGTACCCCTGATAAACATGGACTCATGCTGTTTTACTCTCTTATCTAGACACACTACTTTGGCCTCTGGTTTCTCAGCAAGAGCCAGCAAGCACGATGGGTGGAGCTGGAGAAACCTCTGAAGAAACATCTGGACAAATTTGCGAACGAGCCTCTGCTTTTCTTCGGAGTCATGTTCTATGTGCCAAATGTGTCATGGCTTCAGCAAGAGGCCACAAGGTAGGTGCATTTTTCCCTTGGTTCCGTATAAGGGCGTGGATCAGCTGCAAGGTTTCAGATGAAGTAGATGAGTTGGTTGATTTGGGGGTGTGTAGGTGGAGGTGGGTGCAGCGTTGGGGGGGGAGGGTGGAGTCATTGGGGGTTGTTTACCAGCCGCTTTGCAGCTTTAGAATTGTTGTCTGAATCTGAGGTGCTAACCCCGGTGTTTCCCTACGATGCTAGTCAGGCAGCAACGATCCTGGGCCAGTAGAATATTGTGCCTCGCAGCATAGAAGTATTAGCTGGAGGCTGTGCGTAAAACAAGTGGGCTTGAATTTAATAAAGAATTAACCACCTAAGGGGCGCCTGGGTGACTCCGTTGGTTGAGTGTCCTACTCTTGGTTTCGGCTCAGGTCATGATCTCATGGTTTATGAGTTTGAGCCCCACATCGGGCTTTGTGCTGATGGCATGGAGCCTGCTTAGGATTCTTTCTCTCTCTCCCTCTCTCTCTTCCCCTCCCATGCTCGCTTACTTACTGTCTCTCAAAATAAAACAAATTTTTAAAAAGCGTTGAAAAAAAAAAGAATTAACCATCTAATACTTCTTTGTTCTACTCTTGCCCTTAATATGCTCCCAAGCAAAATGTAGCATCAGACTTTGGATTTGAGTAGTATGAACGTAACTGATGGTGGGAGCGGAGTTGACGAGAACATTGAGAAGGCAAGAGCTTTGCCTGTCCTAGGTCACAATAAGAGGAGACAGGAAGCCATGGATAGAGAAGAGACCTGGGATTGGGCCCACCCTCCTGCTCATTGGCTGCTTTGCCTGGAGGAAGCCACTTATCATCTGTGAAGTGACATTCCCCCGTATCTGTAAAGTGAGGGATCTGCACGTGTCTAAAGTTCCGATAGTCTGCAGTTCCATGAACGGAACAGTTGATGTCAGTTAATGTCTGTACAGTTCACTTATTGGTAAGATTTTTCCATTAAAATGTGTGAAGGGGTTGTCTTCTCATCAAATGGTTCTTTCTGGTAATAAAGGGAATTACATTAAGCCTCTACTTTTCACGTTTTTCTTGGATCATGGCATTTAGAGTACTCAGAAGCAATGACGTACTGAGGAGCAGGAATATTGTACTTGATTATTACATGTATGATTTCTTAGATTTGAAAATTTTATTGCATTTATTTTAAAAAATTTAAGTTGTTTGTTTGAAAGAGAGAGAATGTGTGTGTGGAGCGGGGAGTAGCAGAGAGAGGGAAAGGGAGAATCCCAAGCAGGCTCCCCGCTGACAGTGAAGAGCCCAACTTGGGGCTTGATCACAAGAACCCTGAGATCATGACCTGAGCCGGGATTGAAAATCGGATGCTTAACTGACTGAGCCACCCAGGTGCCCCAAGATGTTAAAATAGGAAGCACTTAAAATTTTTACATACATTTTGGGGTGCCTGGGTGGCTCAGTTGGTTAAGCATCCAGCTTTGGCTCAGGTCATGGTCTCACAGTTAATGAGTTCAAGTCCCGCGTCGGGCTCTGTGCTGTCAGCTTAGAGTCTGGAGCCTGCTTTGGATTCTGTGTCTTCCTCACTTGCTCTGCCCTTCCCCCACTTGTATGCGTGCACTATCTCTCTCTCTCTCTCTCTCTCTCTCTCTCTCTCTCTCTCAAAAATAAACATTAAAAAAATTTTTTTACATACATTTTAGGGTGATAGTGATAGTTTCCATCTTCTTTTTTTTTTCTTTTTAAATAAAAACTATTGTTAAATAGGTGGTATTTCTATCAGCAGAGGCCATGAAATAGCTCACAGTCTGACCCCAAAAACCTGTGTTCAGTCTTTCAGGTGTCATCCATTTGAAGCACTTGGTTCAAAACTGTTGTACACTGTTTTCAAGTTTTTTCACTTATGTAGGTTCCTTTCTGTGCGTGAAGTTATTAACTCCTCCAAATGGGACAGTTTCCACCAGCTTCTGAGTCCTTCTTGAATACTTTACATCGTGTTGGGAACACAGCATTAGGTTAATAAGTACATGCTGATCCGGGGCTCTTGGACTAGGAAATGCAAGGCAGTGGGTAACAAGGATGAAACACGGACTATAAATTAATACATATTGGGCAAAGTTCAGTCTGTAAGAAAAAACGAAGTGGTGTTCCTCTAGACAGACTTATTTTGTCAGGTCAATTGTTAAGGAGGAGAAGCTGCAATAAATGGTAAGGGACTCAGAAATTGTGCTTTATGAAGTTAAAAAGGGTTGTTTAAGCTTAGGAAAACAAAGGCTTGGGGCGCCCAAGTGGCCCAGTCAGTTAAGTGTCCAACTCTTGGTTTAGGCTCAGGTTACCATCCCGCGGTTTGTGAGATCGAGCCCCGTGTTGGGCTCTGCACTGACAGTGCTGAACCTGCTTGGGATTCTCTCTCCCCCTCTCTCTTGCTTTTTCTCTTGTGTGTGGGGGGGGGATTATATGCTAACTCTGGAGCACAAAATTTGGGCCAATAATAAGTGAAGTACAAGGAGTTGAAAGACTTTGGTTATTTGGCTCAACATCAGAACACAGTTTCTAATAATTAAAGCCACAAAAAGGTGAACAAGCAGACCTATAACAGGCTGAGTGCCCTGGTTTATAGAAGTGCTGTGGCACTGAGTGGGTAGATGGGGAGTTGTCTGGGAGAGGAGACCGCCATATTGGGTAGGATGTTGGACTGGATCAACAGTTCTCAAACAGACCAGGACTTGCTGTATTATAATTACCTGGAGTATTTATTATAAATGCAATTCTAGGGCTGAAACAGAAGTCTAAACTGAAATGTCTAGGGCTGCGGATCAGAAGAATGTATTGTTTAAAATAAATGATATTCTTCAGGTGGTTCTGATATTCATCCACTCAGTAATTAACACATTCGTTAACCCCTAAAGCTCGTTATAGCTTAAGATTTTCCGGGTAAGTAAACTTAATGTCAGATTACTTGCCTATCCATATTTGCGTTCACAAGCTGAAACAAAAAGTGTTTTAAATCTCAAAAATTTGAGTTATAAAGTAAGAATTTTGATGGTCGGGGTTATTGAGACCGGAGATTAGGTAGGGCTTCTTTCCTTTTTCTTCAGAATTTCCTTTCTCCTCAATTAGCTTGGTTCATTTAAGATGAACTTTGATTGGGAGGGAATGAAATCTTTTCCAACCCAGGGTTTTGAAGCAAACTCTGTTATTGTCATTTGATCAGAAAAACTAACAAAATAAAATGTTGAAGGACATTTTTAGACTTAAACACAGAAGTAAACCGTTCATTTGTTAGGTATAACCTTCTCGCTATGGCAAAGAACGTTTAAAGTTAGGAGCTAGGTTAGCATGAGGCGTTATGGGGTTTTGTTTTTGTGGTTTTTTTTCCAGCATTGCAGAAATTTTTGTTACTCCAAGAAACCCTAAAACTGGAATGTGCCAAGGGGCATCAGGGCAAGTGAAAGACTTTAGTTGGGAAGGTGAGAAAATAAGAGAGAGAAGTAGTATAAGTACAGAAAGGAAAATTGATGGAGAAGGAAAACAGAGAGAGAATGACATATACTTGGGAAGTGACCCAGGTATGATTCCTGAGATGTGCCATGGGTTGTAGGCGTATAGACTAGAGTGCAAAGGAGACCTGGTTTGGACAGAATAACATTTTTAACTGTGCAACGTTCCTGGCTTTGGTGTTGGACATGAAGAAATGAGCTGAACTCGAGGTGAAGGACGCCACCAATGGTCATTAGAAGCCTTTGGGAATCTGAGCCTTCTTGGGAGGTTTTAGAAGCACGGGGGTGCAAACTGAATACTGAAACCCTCTTCCAGGCAGAGCAGCCAAGGAGGAGCAGCTGTGGTAGGGCAGGATTCCAGAGGACTGTTTCACAGAAGGCCCCAGCAACATTCATTAGGAGCTGGGTAGTGACAGACTCTTGCGCCGTTTGCTGTGACCCACGTGAGCAGGCGTCTGAGGTGGAGACGGGCTTGGAGAGCACCTGGGATCTGCGGCATCTGACACAAAACAGTTAGTCTTTGTGATGTCCCGCAGACCAAGATATTTGCATAGATTAGAAAGAGGAATCCGTCTTTCACTGTGGGCAAGCCCTTGGAGGAGGCAACCACTTGGCCATCCGTCTGCGCTTAAAAAATAAGCCTTTGTCTGGAGCCCACCAAACTTGTTTTCACCCAACACATGTTGGCAAAGGTTTGGCTAATTCTCTTGGAGAAGAAAACGGGTTCTATGGCATTCGTAGGGCCCAGCCATTTCTCGTTTCCGAATAAGGACAAAGAATTTAGAATTCACTCTGGTTGGTTGGGGGGTACTTGTGGACCCACATGTATCAAGGCACATGGCAGTGGAAGGAGGATATATTTAAAAGGTCTGTGTTTCATTTCTTGTCCTCAGACAATCCCAGCCCTGAAAACTGGGAGGTTAAGAGTCCTGAGAACAGCACGACAAAAGAGAAGGAAATCTGCTAAGATACTATGATTGAGCTGGAGACGAAATGCACAATCCAAGCCCTACACAGAGGTGATAATTGAACAAGAAGGCAAAAGATTTCAAAAGGAGGATTCACATAGGCATCCACATGGACGGAAAATATCTTGATATTCTTACAGAAGCGCTAAAAAGTTGATACAAAAGACACATTGGTAGACAGATGGAAGATGAGTCACGAAACCGTAGGAATTAAAGAGATTAAGCCCAGGGTTCGTTAGCCCCACTCCAAACTGTAAGATACGTGACTTTGGGGCTTCAAAAATGGTAGTTTTCCCACTTTGGTTAAAATGACTCAAGGGACGGGACCACCATAATTTTTTCCACTTCGCTTTGCTTCCCCTGTTCCTTTTTGCCAGCTCTGCTGCTCAGGAAAGAGACTCTTGCTTGCGATTCCTCTCCCCCCATTATGCTCTCCTCCTGACTCAAAGGAAAGATTTTTGTAATGTGTTTTAATGATCTGCATAGCAACAGGCTCCGTATAAACAGAGGGTTTTCAGATTTTTCTGGCCACAATAAGAAAAAAGATGGTTTGT